GCTGGATCTGGACCTGAATCTGGAATCTACGTAGCCTGACTCACCTTTTTGAGTTTTAAACACACATCGCCTGGATCTGGATTTCGATCTGGAACTGAATCCTGCCAGGACGCACCCGTACACAATCTTTGCCTGTCTTCCCCGCCCATCTCCGCCCGTCGGCGCGCAGATTTATACCACAGATAAACTACTGTTCACATAATCTCTATATATAGTATAGCCGTTTTGGTGATGTGTATGTCATTGTACGTCGTCGGCGGCGCCAGATGGCCCCCTAGATTTTCGTTCCGTCGTATGTCTGTCTGTCTGTCTGTCTTACGCACTGCTGGCCCCGGCTCCGTGACCTTGCGTCGACGGCAGCATACTTGACCCCGTGAAGGAGTCCCCTGCTGCCCCTGTCGCTAGAGAGCCCAGCTCTGGAGGGGGAGGAGGAGGGGGAGGAGCGGGAGGCGGCGGAGGACCAGGACCAGGAGCAGGAGCACGTTGCAAGACCGGACTGATGAGAGCCGCCGGCATGCGCTGCGCCGGATGCGGTGGCGGCGGCGGCGGCGGTGGCAACATCAACGGTGATGACGGCGGCGTCGCCACCGGCACTGCCGTCGCGACGGCGGCCATGAGGCGCTCCAGGTGCGCCTCCACAAGGATCGCTGGCGGCCTGTTTTGGGGCTGACGTTGCAAGCAATGAAGCGCCACTGCCCGGTAGGTCTCCGGGCACGAGGGTGGGAAGGCGGGGAAGATGCTGCTATACCGGGGGCCTTGGTCGGTGCGGATGCCGGCGCGGCGGCCGTGGTAGAGCTCCCATAGCATCACACCCAGCGAGAACACTTGGGTGGTTGCATGTATGTATGTGTGTGTGGGGGGGGGAGGTAGGGGTATAGCGGTGTAGTGATGTAGACGACGACAAGCGGGACGGGGGAAAGGGGGGAGGGGAGGGGGAGGGGGAAGGAAGCCGGTCAGGGAGCGGCAGAGAGAGAGAGAGAGAGAGAGAGAGAAAGGTAAGGGGAAGGGGAAGGGGAATATCGGAAATGGGAGAGCAGCTGGATTAGAATGGCACCTGGATTCGAAACGGCGACTTCAGACAATGACGGACCGACAGCAGCAATCTTCATGTGAACACTGCTGCTGCTGCTGCTGCTGCTGCCTGTTCGGCCCACTACTCTGCTACGGCTGCCCAACGTTTCCAACCACCCACTCACCGTCTGATGGCGGCCCGACTTGCCCCTGAAGATGGTGGTGGCGGTGGGGCGGGTGGTGATGGTGCGTCCAACAGCGGCCCCAGCAAAGCCAAGTTATCAAGCGCAGGGGGAAAAAAGAGGGAGAGTATCCTCACGAATGGGAGAGAAGACAAAAAATAAAATTAGAAAGTAGGACCTTAAATTAAATCAAACGCGTACGGTCTTACGAACGAAACTCTATAGACCCGGTGTCCGATTTTTATTAGTTTCAATATTACATAGAAAAGAGGACGGCAGGGGACGGGACGAAGAAGGGACCGCAATTCAACGCGCAAATTAAGAATCGGCTGCCAAAGTCCTAAAGCGACGTCGGGAGTGTTGTACGTATGAGCGTTTGCATGTGTGTGTATGTACGTATGTATGCGTGACGGCAAAGGCCACAAGCTGCAGGGAAAAGTAAAGACGAGCAACCCCGTAGATTACCCCTTCAACTGTAATAATACTTCCAGACAGTCGTTGTGCTGTGCTGTGCTGTGCGTGCATGCAATCATACGTGCATTCATGCATTCCTTCATGCACATGTACTTTTTGATAATAAATATGGAAGAGTTGACTGTGAGATTGCCGCGTCTGTAAAAATGGTCCTGTTGTCGTACCCTGTCGTACCTTCATGACTACTGCAGGGCACATGTAAAACATGGTGCCCATGCGCAAGTTGCTCAGGTGGGTTCGATTTTGAGGCAGCATTACACTGCGGTGGGGTGAGTGGGGAGTGGGGAGAGGCAAGGGGGTGGGAGGGGGGTTTTGGGCGGGCGGGCTACCAGACATAGAAATTGCTGTAAAAGCTTATTTATATATAAAACATAACCAAAACCACCAAATTAAAACAAAGCAATATTTTTTCTCTTCTATTCAGCCCTTTCCTTTATTTATTTAATATTTCATGTGTTATTTCTCCTCATTCAAAGGAAGTGAACTTCCTTGTAATAGGATAATTTAAAAGAATTTAAAACGATATAACCACCTCGCTTGCACCCACCATCCCTGCTGCTGTCCGCGCGATGAGACACAAGTCTCGGGTTGACGGCGACTTCCGAGTGACGAAGCGAAGTAAGGGGCGGAAGAGGCCCGGCAGGAAGGGGGCCTAGGCATCGACCCCGGTGGCCGACATAATCTTTTGCCACACAGCGGAGCGATAGCTTTTTGTATATAGCTACCACGACTGCTCCCTTAATGATGTAACTGTCTCTCTAGAAAGTTAATAAGAAATTATCATGCAAAATG